CTGGTCTCCTTCTCGGGCACAAAGGCGACTGCTTAGGTCTCCTTCTCGGGCTCAAGGGCGACTTCCTGGGTCTCCTTCTCGGGCTTGGGCGACTTCCTGGTCTCCTTCTCGGGCTCGGCGACTCCTGGGTCTCCTTCTCGGGCTCAGGGCGACTCCTGGGTCTCCTTCTCGGGCTCAAGGGCGACTTCCTGGGTCTCCTTCTCGGCTCAAGGCGACTTCCTGGGTCTCCTTCTCGGGCTCGGCGACTCCTGGGTCTCCTTCTCGGGCTCAGGCGACTTCCTGGGTCTCCTTCTCGGCTCAAGGCGACTTCCTGGTCTCCTTCTCGGGCTCAAGGGCGACTTCCTGGGTCTCCTTCTCGGGCTCAAGGCGACTTCCTGGGTCTCCTTCTCGGCTGGCGACTTCCTGGTCTCCTTCTCGGGCTCAAGGCGACTTCCTGGGTCCTTCTCGGGCTTCCTGGGTCTCCTTCTCGGCTCAAGGCGACTTCTGGTCTCCTTCTCGGCTCAAGGGCCTTCCTGGGTCCCTTCTCGGGCTCAAGGGCGGCGACTTCCTGGGTCTCCTTCTCGGGCTCCGGCGACTTCCTGGGTCTCCTTCTCGGGCTCAAGGCGACTTCCTGGGTCTCCTTCTCGGGCTCAAGGCGACTTCCTGGTCTCCTTCTCGGCTCAAGGGCGACTTCCTGGGTCTCCTTCTCGGGCTCAAGGGCGGCGACTTCCTGGGTCTCCTTCTCGGGCTCAAGGCGACTTCCTGGGTCTCCTTCTCGGGCTCAAGGGCGACTTCCTGGGTCTCCTTCTCGGGCTCAAGGGGCGACTCAACTCCTTCTCGGCTCAAGGGCGGCGACTTCCTGGGTCTCCTTCTCGGGCTCAAGGCGACTTCCTGGGTCTCCTTCTCGGCTCAAGGGCGACTTCCTGGGTCTCCTTCTCGGGCTCAAGGGCGGCGACTTCCTGGTCTCCTTCTCGGGCTCAAAGGTCTCCTTCTCGGCTCAAGGGCGGCGACTTCCTGGGTCTCCTTCTCGGGCTCGGGCGACTTCCTGGGTCTCCTCTCGGGCTGGCGACTTCCTGGGTCTCCTTCTCGGCTCCTGGGTCTCCTTCTCGGGCTCAAGGGGCGACTTCCTGGTCTCCTTCTCGGGCTCAAGGGGCGACTTCCTGGGTCTCCTTCTCGGGCTCAAGGGCGACTTCCTGGGGCTCAAGGGCGGCGACTTCCTGGGGGCTTCTGGGTAAATTCCACAGTCGAATTTAATCCTGCGCGACTAAAGGTGCATAGTAAACAAAGCAACGAAGGAAAGAACAAGAAAAAGGACGACTACGCCGAGGCCATTTTCCCCGTGTTGTTTCTCCAAGCCTTTGGTATATTCACGTTTTCTTGGTCTTCCCTTCTTTTCATTAAATGTTTTTTTTTAGCTTGGACCCTGAGCACGTAAATTCATCCATGACGATCCCCAAGTCTCATATACTCATGCGTGTGTGTGTGCGTGTGTGTACATGTATATAGACACAAACATATATGTGTGATTTTTATGTGCATTCCCATGAAAGCATGGGTCTGGAAAAGTTTTCATTTTGTTTAGATCCATACTCCATAACCAGCTTATATTCTGCCACTATTGCAAACCAGACCTCCAGCACTGGCTTACCTGGCAACACTATCTTATTGATGGTAACAACCTTTATTTAACTACGGTCGCGAAACTGATATACTTGCCGAGATCGGGATCAGTAATAAGATCTTATTTTCATTTTGATTCGACTGCATTCGCCTTTAGCCAAACGCCATTACATTTATGATCATGTCTTCCCTCTATATGTATGTATGGGCACATATAGATTGCGGTTCTGTTAATCTCATCGATGCACCACATCGCCCTTATAATTTTAGCATAATTGTAGGTGTTAGAAAGCAGCATTGTCTTTTTTTTTATCATTATCACTTCATGTCTTATGAGAAGAAAACATATGTAAGTATATATATATATATATATATATATATATATATATATATATATATATATATATATATATCTGTGTGTGTGTATGTTTGTGTTATTGTGTATGTTTGTGTGTGTGTATGCACGTGCGCGTGTGTGTGTGTGTTTGTGTTTGTGTGGATAAATATATATATATATATATATATATATATATATAATATATATATATATATATATATATATATATATATATATATATATATTATATATATATATATATATATATAATATATATATATATATATATATATATATATATATATATATATATATATATATATATATATATATATTATATATATATACATATATATAATATATATATATATATATATATATATATATATATAATATATATATATATATATATATATATATATATATATATATATATATATATATATATATATATATATATATATATATATATATATATATATATATATATATATATATATATATATATATATATATATATATATACTGAATATATATGTGTATGTCTGCAGTATATCTTTCGTATAACCAAATGAAAGAAAACAAATTATAAAAAAAATCATTTATTTTGCAAGGTCAAAGTTTTTTCTTGGACAAATCCAAAAGAACTATTATGAGCCATTTTGAAAACCTTTCATAGTTCATGGTCTAAGAAGTCCGTTGACAATTTGGTTCGCGAGCTAGTTCCTTGAGGGTGCGAGAACCACGCTGATGGGAGAATAACCTTGGTTCTGCTGGTTCCTGTTCTGTTGGCTGTTGTACTGGTTGTAGACGCGGTTGTTGTATTGGTTCTGGGAACCGGATCCATAACGAGCCAGAAGGTAGTTTTGGTTCTGGCTGTAGAGGCTGGGCGAAGGGCGGTTCAGGTTCTGATTGAAGCGGTTGGTTCCATAACGCTGGAAGTTGTACCTGAGGTTGTTGTTGCGGGTGGAAAGGCTTTGGTCGCGGTTCTGTTGGTATTGGTTGCGATTCTGCTGGTATTGGTTGCGGTTCTGGTAGGACTGGTCGAAGTACTGCTGGTCCTGGTTGCGGCTCTGCTGGTACTGGTTGCGGCTCTGCTGGTACTGGCTGCGGCTCTGCTGGTACTGGTTGCGGCTCTGCTGGTATTGGTCACGGTTCTGGTAGGACTGGTCGAAGTTCTGCTGGTATTGGTTGCGGCTTTGCTGGTATTGGTTGCGGTTCTGGTAGGACTGGTCGAAGTTCTGCTGGTACTGGTTGCGGCTCTGGTAGGACTGATCACGGTTATGCTGATACTGGTTTCGGTTCTGTGAAAATTGGTAACGGTTCTGCTGATTCTGATATCGGTCCTGTTGGTACTCGTTGAGGTTCTGAGAATACAAAATGGGGTTTAGCTGGTATTCATTGTTCTGCTGGTTCTGATAGCGGTTCCGTTGGTAATCGTTGCTGTACTGAGAGGATTGGAAGCGGTTTCGCTGATATTGATCGCGGTTCTGTTGATACTGATCGCGGTTCTGTTGATACTGATTGCGGTTCTGGGAATTTTGTCTATTTTCCAGGTTCTGGTTGCGGCTTTGTGAGTATTGGTACTGGTTGCGGTTCTGTTGGTACTCATTGTTGTTCTGTGAGTACTGGCCACGGTTTCCCTGG